AAAACAGAAAAATTATAAAACATAAATGTCTAATAACAAGGAGCTCATTAAATAAATTATGACATTTTATATGAAGGAATATGACACAGCCATTAGAAATTATGATTGAGAACAATATCTATCTATCTATCTATCTATCTATCTATCTATCTATCTATCATCAAGCTACCTAGTTATTGAGGCAAATTTTCACCCTGTCACCCAGGCTGGAGTGCAGTGGCACAATCACAGTTCACTGCAGCCTCAAACTCATGGGTTCAGTTGATCCTCCTGTTTCAGCCTCCTAAGTACCTCAGACTACCATGCCCAGCTAGTTTTTCTATTTTTGGTAGAGGTGGGGTCTCATTCTGTTGAACAGGCATGTCTCAAACTCCTGGATCAAGTAATCCTCCTGCCTCAGCCTCCCAAAGTGCTGGGATTACAGGCATAAGCCACCATGCCCTGCTGAGAACAATATTTAATGCTATAAATTATCAACTTAGAAAGTTATAAAACATGATAAAAATTTGTAAAATAAAAAGTAAAAGTACGTGCATGTGTGTGTAAATGTACAAAGAAAAAGTCTTCAGACCAACAAGAATAGTACACAACTAATGTACCCCACTTAGCAAATTTGCTTTTTTGCAGGAGTAAGAATTAGTAATTCTAAAACGACATCATTGAGTATTTTAGGCTTGAAGATCTGAGTAAATATATTTTTATTAATAAGGGTCTAGTATCTCATAGGTAGAAAAATGAGTTATTAATAAAAAAGAAATGAACTCTGGTGTTGGATTAAAATAGGAGGTATTAGAATGATAACTATAGATTTTTATTCACACACACACACACACACACATACACACACACACATTCAGAGAGACAGATATATAGACACCTATGTATATATACTTATATTTCCTTGCTTTGTGCAATGAGAGGATCCAGAAACAAAGATTCCCAAGTAGCAATGGTATGCAGCAAGCACCCTGATTTTTGTTTCTAAACCCATTCTCTACTTAAAGAAACCAGGGATCTTTAAGAAAAATGGCTGATTCCAAGGTGGGGGCAGGGAAAGTGCAAGATGGTAGAAAGAAAGAGAGTGTTTAAAAAACAGTGGGGGTATGTCAAAAGAACACTAGTACCAGCTTGAGAGGTTCTCAATGGTTGACTGTGACAATTTGCAAAATAAATAAAAATAGCAATTAATCTGAACCAATAGAATGAAACAAATATCCACAAGTCTATATTATATAAATCAATAATTGAATAAAGTAAATAACTGGGGGAGAAGGAAAGTTCTTCCTTATAATACAACTCCAGGAATGATAGAGACAGAAAATCTTAATATCAGTAATTATTCCAGGCAAATATCACTGATGATGCTGAAAATAATGTTGAAAAGTGTGAGGAGAAACAGGATATTTACATCATCTCAAAGTATCTCCTCACAAGATACCTTTAATTATATAAGAAGAAAAAAGCAACTTTAAACTGAAGAAGGCTAGCATACACCACAAGTGTACCAAAATAACATCACTAGTAATGCTACACATTTGTCATAAGTTTCCTGATATGATACACTAAGAGGGCAAGCCAGGAGTGCTGTGGAATTCTTGCCAAAAATATGTAAATTGAATGCAAACAAAAGGAAACATCAGGAAAATTCAAACTGTGAGACAACTCTACAAAATAATTGGCCAGTACTCTCACAAATGCTGAGAAAGACAAAACGAAGGAGACATGACAACTAAATGCAATGTGGGAGTCTGAATTGGATCCTGGAACTAAGAAAGGACATAAGTGGGATAAAACTCATATTGACAAGATTTGAATGAGGTCTGTAGTTTAGCTAATAGGATTGGGTCAATACTGAGGTATAATATTAACATTAGGAAAGCTGGGTAATAGAAATTTCATTGTAAAAATTTACAAGCTTTTTATAATTAGACATTATTTCAAAACAAAAGTTGGAATTTAAAAGAATTACACTTCATTTAAAAAAGACTCATTCACGTGAGTGAAGATATAATTTCTACGAATGACTTTAATTTTATTATGCTGTTTTTCCAAATTATTTACAACAAAGTGTATTACTTTTATAATTAAAAAGTAATTCTCTTTAGATGCTACTTAGAAGAATAAAAACATATTCAATAAATCAAATTAAATCAAGAAACTCTACATAAAAATACCTAATAGAGGCTAAAAGAACTTGACTAAATCCATTTCCCTGATAGTAAATATAGAAACAGACTCCTTTAAGAAATTTCCTATTTATATTATTACACAGTTTTTGAATAATTATTGACTGAGTGCTGAAAAAGAAACAATAAGTTGATCATGTATTAAAGTTTTTACCTACTATATATGTAAAAATTGTAATGTAATCAACGCATCTGCAATTATAAAAATATAATTTCTACTACAACTTCTCTGCAACTTTTTCTGACCCTAGAGTTCATTAACAAGCCAGTGTTTGAGGGAGAAAAAAAAAATTATAGGAAACACAAATGAGTATCCAAGGGCAGCAGTTAAAACTTTAGGACCTTTAACCTTTGTTTGTGAAGTGTGACTAATAAGGAATGGCAAATCATCTTCCTAGAGAAGTAAACCATGTGTTAGTTACCAAGGATGTCGAAAAAATTTATGTTTATTATAGCCTTACTTCCCTTCTGATTTCTGATCGTTTAAGCTTATTCTATTTGATAAAACATTTCTAGTTTTTATAACCAAATAGCAATTTTTAATAATAAAAATGTTAAAACATTTTTAAAACATTCAAATGCTTTAGAACAGCATAAAGAAGAAATTAAAAGTCACTCCAAATCCGGTTAATCTTTTGGGACACTATTCCAGTCCAGATCTTCTAAGTATATGTTCATATATAGATATGGACATTTTTGCATAGATATAGCATTCATAAATGGAATTGTAATATTCTGTAGTGTTCTATAACTCAAAAGACATTAAATTATTTCTAAGTCTTTAATTTTGCAAATAATGCCACAATCTATATCCTTGTACACATATCTACACAGATTGACTTACTCTACCTTTAAATACATCTTGTCTTTTGAAAATTTAAAAACTTGTCTTTTTTTAAAAAAGAAATGTCCAAAAAAGGTATAACATAGAAGGCCAAAATCCGTAATAATCTTAATCCTATAGATCTTCTCCCTGACCCTCATTCCCCAAAAAAACCTGCTCCTCTCACAATCATCTCCCAGTATATGACAGTTCCATTCTTCCAGCTGCTATGGAGAAAAGCCTTGAAATTATCTTTGGCTCCTTGCTTTCTCTAAAAACCCTTGTGTAATCCGTTAGCACAATATGGTAGTTCTCCTTGGAGAAATATTAAGGATCCGCTAATTCTCATCAACCTTACTCACACTAGCTTGGTCCAGTCATTACCACTTCTTGTCTAGCACTAGAGCACTGAACAGTTCATTGATGTGGTTTCAGATTTCACATCGCAACTAACCTTCAAGATATGCCACTTGTCAAGTTTTATCAAAGAAGAATATCCACAATTATCTGAAAAGCTATAAGATATTTTTCCCTCTTTAAACTACATATCTCTGTGAAGCTGGATTTTCTTCCTATATTTCAACTAAAACATCATATTGTAATAGACATTTTGTGGTGATTGCAAAAGTATATCTATAAGACTAGCGGACTTTTATAAAGCTGAATATTAGATACTTGCAAAAAGTAAAAAAAACAAAAACAGAAACCATACTTCTCACTAATTTTTTTTACTGCGTTGGAAAGTAGTTGTTTTTCAAGAAAATTCATTTTAGTTATGTTAACATAGAATGAGTCTATTATTATTATCCTTAAATGAAGCAATACATATTTGAGAAAATCATCTTTAGCTCATTGCTTTCTCTAAAAAACTTTGTCTAATCCATGCACAAATTCCATTTTGTCCTTAGAAAAATATTCAGGATCCAACCAATTCTTGATAGCCTCACCCATGCTAACCTGGTTCAACCACCATCATTTCTTGTCTAGTACTAGAGCATACAAGGTATGAAAAGTTTATTGATCTAGTTTCAGACTCAACATTGCAACTAAACTTTTCTCAGTTTTAAGTATACTGGAAGTATTGATAGATATAACTAACATAACCATGACAGAACCAAGGCTTTAATGGCATCTCTCTTACTCAGGGTAAAATCTAAAATTCTTACCATGATTTCCAAACTCCCTACATGATCTAACCCGATTTTCTGTACAATATCTACTCCCCACTCTCTCTGACCTCACTTCTAACCATCTCAATCCACTCTTTAACAATGAGCCTCTTTGATATTCCTTGAATATACCAAGTAACTTCCTAAAGATTTGGCATTTACTTTTCTCACTGTTTGGAATACACCCTTCCAGAAATCCTATGGGTCTTCTTTAATTCTTTCCCTAATAATGCTGAAATGTTTTTTTATTTTATTTTTTTACTTTATTTGATTATAAAGATGCAGGGTGTAAGTCAGGATTAAGTACATAAGTAGTCTACGTGCAGGTGAAGTTTGGGCCTTCAACTGGTCCTCACTTCCCCTGGTTTAGGATCACCTTATTGGTGAGATACCCCTTGAAAAGTACTAAACAGTATTTTCCATATTTCTCTTTATTTCCTTTACTGTGCTTTATTGCTTTTTAAAAACATCAGTTAATACTTCTTGACATATTTTCAGTTGTCACTCTTCCCCATCTCGAGTTTAAGTCCATAACAGTAGGGACTTTGTTGCCTTGCTCATTACTATAGGCCCAGTGCCTAGAAAAGCATCTCGCACATAGTTTGCCTTCAATATATTTTGGTTGAATGAGTGACTGAAAACATCATCTTATAGCATTTTTATTTGCTTTTCCTTTGAAAATTCTTGATTTGATCAATCAGCTGTTTCTCAATAAGGCTACAATAAAATTGTAAAAGGCAAGTACACGTTATCCTAAGGTAGGAAAAAAAAAAGGGCAAAAAAGATAGCAGAAAACACAGAAATTAGAAGTAACTTTCATACCTGACACACTCTGAGAGCTTGGTCCAAGACAGTTTTGGTATCAGTGTCATAATCCGGGCAGGGTAGCATGGCTCGGCTGAGGTGTGCCTGTAGCAGGAGATGTGCTTTGGTGTGAGGGCTGTCAAAGGAATGGGGATTTAATTCGACGGGAAGACATTTTGCCAGTTCACTATTCATATGATCTTCATTGTGTCTTACTGGCAAATCTGTGTATTCTTCTGCATCCTGAAAAAAAAAGGTGCACATATATATGTTAGTGAGCTAGATAAAAAGTTTAACAGTTAATGAACTTCTCAGCTTTGACTTCTGACATTTAAAACATGGTTTAGAAAATCATAAAATAACCATATCCCTTAGAATTTTGCTTTGTTCAATACTATCACTAACATATAAGCAAAAACTAATAATGTACAACATATCTGAAATTCATAAATATCATTTTGTATTAACACAGCCGACAAAAATAATAGAGTACTTAGTAGGTATCACTCACTATCTGTGACACCGGGGCCACAGTAGTGAACCAGAAACTGGAGAGCCCATCAGGGAAGCTAGACAAACAAATTTTATAACATGTAATAAGTGTTATGACAGTGACATTTAGTACAAAAGTACAAACTGCTGAAGGGACATTCTGTTTGGGGAATCTACTAATTTTAGAGGGTCAAGAAAAAGTTTTTGGAAAAAGTGATATTTAATTTAAGACTCAGGTAATAAATTGAAGAAACAAGACAGGGCTGGAGAAAGAGGTAAGGAAAGGATTGGTAAATGAAAACAAGGTGAAATTTAGGATCATTAACTTATTTTTTTCTTTTTTGAGATACGTTCTTGCTCTGTTGTCTAGGTTGGAGTGTAGTGGCACAGTCCTGGCTCACTGCAGCCTCACCTCCTGGGCCCAAGAATCCAAGAATCTCTTCTACCTCAGCCTCCTGGACAGGTAGGACCACAGGTACATGCCATCATGCCCCGCGAATTTATTTTTTGTAGAGATGGGGTCTTGCTATGTTGTTCAGGCTGGCCTTAAACTCTTGGCCTCAAGGGATCCTCTTGCCTCGGCCTCCCAAAGTGCTGGGATCATAGACATGAACACTTGTGCCAGGTCAACTTACAATTTATTATAATAAATTAGATGATAAACAAATTGTTCTAGAATAAATGCTATGTTTTGATTCTTCATCTTAGGTTTGCAGGGTTCAGTAGTGAAAAGTAGCCTCCACAATATCAATCAGTAAGTACCTATCGAACCTACAAGAGAGAACTGTGTTCTATTAAAATTTATTAGTCTTAGTTGTAAAAAAAAAAAACAACTTATTTTTCTAAATACCTAGTTATTCAAGATTCAGCCTATTGCTGTTGATATGAGTGATATGTCAGCTATAATATTAATTGGATATGTTAATATTCAAATAAGGGAGTAGAATTACCTTCCTCCTATAACTCTACCCTCCCCTACAAAAGACAAAATAAATGAAAGAGTGGTCTTCAGGATGATGAGCATAAAGTTATGAAAGACAGTGATCCCTGAGGAACAGAAAACAAATCAGGTGAACTCCATTATTGCTCAGAGAGTTTCTGTGCTATGGTGCAGAGAAGGAGAATTCAGGTGAACCTGGAGGACTGTCTGCACCAAGGAGGTGAAGCTCAATACATCCAGGGATGTAAAGGTGGCTATAAAAAAATACCTAAAAGGATCAAACTGTTTCCAAGTAAATTTTTTTTTTTTTGAGTTGGAGTCTTACTCTGTCACCCAGACTGCAGTGTAGTGGCCGCTCCCGGCCACTGCAGCCTCGACCTGCTGGGCTCTGGCGATCCTTCCGCCTCAGCCTTCTGAGTAGCTGGAACTACAGGCGCACACTACCACATCCGGCTAATATTTTTTGATTTATTGTAGAGATGAGGTCTCACCAAGTTGCCCAGGCGGGTCTTGAACCCATGGGTTCAGGCAATTCACTCACCTCAGCCTCCCAAGGCGCAGGATTACAGGTTGAGCCACTGAACCCGGCTGTTTCCAAGTAAATTAACTGTATTTCAGAACAAGTCAAGAAGACTTACAGGAATATAAATTATACAGTACTCAAGAAGGAGAAATTCACAATGTATGGCATCCAATTAATTATGATCAACTGCAAAAATGCAGGAAAACAGGATCTGTAATGAGGAGACTAATCAATCCATGGAAAATGGCCTAGAACTGACATAGATCTTAGAATTAGCAGGCTATTACAACTATATTTTATATGTGCAAAAGTTAAAGACAACTACTCAATTCAAATTTCTAGAGGTGAAAATTACAATGTCTGAGATGAAAAATATCCTGGATTTTATAAATAGAAGAATATACTTTGAAGAGGAAAAGATTAGAGAACTTAAAGACATCAACAGAAACTATTAAAATGAAACATAAAAAAAAATATAATTTAAGAAAAATGAACACAGCATTATCAGCAAGCTGTGAGACAACTTCAAATAGCCTAATGCATACTATAGGAGGAAGTGAAGAAATAATGGCTGGAAAATTTCCAGTTTGCCTAGGCGCAGTGACTCAGTCTGTAATCCCAGTACTTTGGGAGGCCGAGGTGAGAGGACTGCCTGAGCCTGGGAGTTAGAGACAAACTCAGACAACTTGTTGAGACCTTGTCTCTACTGTAAATCACAAAAACTAGCCGGGCATGGTGGCATGCATCTGTAGTTCCAGCTACTTGGAAGGCTGAGGAGGGAGGATCGCCTAAACCCAGCAGGTCGAGGGTGAGGTGGCTGTGAGCATACCACTACACTCCAGCCTGGGCAACAAGAGTGAGATTCCAACTCCAAAAAAAAAAAAAAAGTCCAGTTCAATGTAATCTGTAAATCTATAGGTTCAAGAAGTTCAATGAATCCCAAATGGGTGGGAAGATGGCATCATCATAATTTATCAAAATTTAACTGCTCATAACCACTGTTAAAGAGAAAATATGAGAAGATGAGAATTATAGATAATTTCCCATGAAAACAACACAAGGCTACAGAGGAGCAACATCTTTAATGTACTGAAAGAAAAATCTGTAAACCAAGAATGCTATATCCAGTGAAAATAAATCTTTCAAAAATGAGGAATTTTCAGACATATGAAAGCTGAAATAATTCAGCAACTCTGCTGAATGTTAAAGTCATTGTTCAGACGGAAGACACATTATACCAGAAGACAATATGAATCTATACAAAGAAATGAACACTAAAAATGGTAATTGTAAATAGATAAATATAAATAGTGATGGTAAATGGATGAATATATAGAAATTTGTTCTTATTATTTTAATATCACTGAACGACCACTGGTTGTTTAAACAAAAATAACAAAGAATGCATTATGGAGTTCATCACATATGCAAAAGTAAAGCATAAAACACAACAGCATTTGAAAATAGACTGGACAAGTTAAAAATATGTACTATAAATCCTAAAGCAATCACTAAAATAGCAAAACAGAAGAATTATAGGTAGTAAGAGAATATAGAAGATAAGAAAAAGAAGGAAAAAATAAAGAACACAAAAGAAATAAAGAACAAAGCATGTAAAGAATGTTTACATACCATAATAAAATTGAATGAGAAATCAGTAACAAAGATCTCTGGAAAAAAATGGCAAGATTATATGCTTAAGCCTACACTTAAAAGCAGTCACTTTATTTTTATTTTTTTATTTTTTGTTGGAGTCTCACTCTGTCACCCAGACTTGAGTGCAGTGGCCACTCCCGGCCACCGCAGCCTCGACCTGCTGGGCTCTGGCGATCCTTCCGCCTCAGCCTTCCCAGTAGCCGGAATTGCAGGCATGTGCTACCACGCCCGGCTGATTTTTGATTTATTGTAGAGATAAGGTCTCGCTGCCCAGGCGGGTCTCGAACCCACAGGCCCAGGCAATCCACTCACCTCAGCCTCCCAAAGGCGCGGGATTACAGGCTGAGCCACCGAGCCCGGCTAAAAGCAGTCACTTTAAAGGCAAATGGTTTAACTAACCCCATGTGAAGTCAGACATTTTCTGCATAATAATGCATAACTCAACTATAGTTGCCTCTTGGCATGCATGGATAATTGGTTCTAGAACCCCCTGTGTATACCAAAATCCCCAGATGTTTAAATCCCTTATATAAAATGGTGCAGTATTTGTATATAACCTATGTACATCCTATGTACTTTACACCATCCCTAGATTATTTATAATACGTAATATAATGAAAATGCTAGGTACATTTTGTGAAAATCTTTGAAGATGGAAACATAAAAACAATAGAAGAAAAAAATCAATGAGCCCAAAAGTTGTTCTTTTGAGAAGATCAATACAGTTGATAATCCTGTAGCAGACAGATCAGGTAAAAAAGAGAGAAGATACATACCAATATCAGGAATGAGAAGACTAACATAACTACAAATATTACAGATAGTAAAATAATAAGAAGAAAATAATATGAATTACTTTATGGCTATAGATGTAAAAACTGAGATAAAATAGACAAATTCCCTGAAAGACACAAACTACCACAGCTCACTTATGAAACAGATCACCTGACAATCCCCATATGTATAAAGAAATTGAATCTGTAGATAAAAACCTTCTCACAAAGAAAACTCCATCACCTGCTCAATTCTACTAAATACTTAAAGAAGAATTAAAAGCCAATTCTATATACATTTTTCTAAAAGAGAAATGAATCCTTCCCAACTAATTTGAGGTCACCAGCACTATCCTTGTGCCAAACTAGACAGTGACGTTAAGAAATAAGAAAACCATGACCCAATAACCCTCACAAACATGTAAAACTTCTAAACAGAATTTTAGTGAATCAAACATGTGAAACAACAATACATCATTACCAAATGAGGTTTATTCCAGAAATGTAGGACTACTTCAACATTAAAAAGTCAATAGGCCGGGCATGGTGGCTCAGCCTGTAATCCCAGCACTTTGGGAGGCTGAGGCGAGAGGACTGCCTGAATACAGGGGTTCAAGACCAGTGTGGGCAATTTGGTGAGACCTTGTCTCTATACTAAATCACAAAAACTGGCCAGGTATTATGGCATGCATCTGTAGTTCCAGCTACTTGGAAGGCTGAGGTGAAGGATCGCCTAAGCCCAGCAGGTCAAGGCTGTGGTGGCTATGAGTGTGTGCCATTGCACTCCAGCCTGGGCGACAAGAGTGAGACTCCAACTCAAATAAATAAATAAATAAAAATAAATAAATGCAATTCACCT